GGATTTTTTTCTCAGCAAAGACACATTTCTGACAAAGTAGTGCACATGACTGCTCACTTTAATGTTTAGTTTAGTGATCACTTATGTAGAGGCATGCAGCTGCTGATGCATAAAAACAACCTCTAGTATCACCTCTTACCTCAGTCACTGACACGGCCCAGCATTACTTAGTTTATGAAATATGAGCCCTCTGACAACAAATAAGTACACATCCTTGTACCTTGTATTACTAAACAGCACTTTTCCTAGCATAGTGGTTACTACTTTTAAAATTTTATCCTGGTTTCCTTGGTACACTCTGTGCCTTTACAAGAGCTACCTGGTATATTATAAACTTTAGCCATGCAGTCCTTTATTTTAATGTTATTTGCAACTTGGCAATATTTTGTTACTGAAATTTTGTGGCAGAGAACACACAGCTGATGAGATGTTTTGTGTCTTCCATCCTACACAGAAAAGATATGGTACTTCTTGAGCTTGTGACTTGATTACATTCTGTGGGAAGCCAAGGATAGCACAGCTTTTTTTTTTCTTTTTGTCCTTTTTTTTTTTTTCCTCCTGCCAAACTGCATTGAAAATCTTACTTCAAACTTTTTTTGCCTAGTCATCCATATTTTCAGACAGGATAAACACTCATTCTTGCTGCTGAAATAAGTGGAAGCACAGAGAACATTTGGAACTCATCGAGGGGTGGACTTAGCAATGGACACTATTGCCCAGGTTATTCACAAGTGTGAACACTGCACACAGCCTCTCGTGCTCTGAAAGACTGTTACAAGAGATGGAGCCTGACATCATGGACCAGATTGACTCAGCAGCTTTATAGGGACTGGCCTATGCACTACGATGAGAGTGCACTTAGATAAGAGTGATGGTATATTGAAAATGTGGGATCTGAGCATAACGTGAATGGTATGGAATAAGGGGTGGATAATGTCCTGGGTTTAGCAGTAGCAGTCATTTTTTCTCCTTCTTGGTAGCTGGTGCAGTGCTGTGTTTTGACTTTCGGCCTGGGAACAAAGCTGATAAAATGTTGTTTTTGCTTGGCCAAGGACTTTGTGAGCCTCATGCTTTGCCAGGGAGGAGGGAAGCCGGGAGGAAGCAGAGACAGGACACCTGACCCAAACTGACCAAAGAGGTATTCCATACCACAGCACGTCATGCCCAGGATGTAACTGGGAGTTACCCGGAAGGGCTAGGTGGACTGCAGGGTTGGAGGAGGGATCGGTCGGTGCTTATTCAGGCTGGGGGGGTGAGTTATCAGTTGCCTGGTGATGAGATGTTGTATTATTTTCCCTTGTTATTTCCTTTATCATTACTATTACTGGTGGTAGCAGTAGTGATTTGTGTTATACCTTAGTTACTAAACTGTTCTTATCTCAACCCATGGGAATTGCATTCTTTCTGATTCTCCTCTCCGTCCCTCCGAGAATAGGGGAGGGCAAGAAGGGGGGGAGAGTGAGTGGACAAGCTGTCTGGCTGGGGTTAAACCACGACAGAAGTAAAACAGAGAAAACAGCTTTTTTTTGTTTCTTTAATGGGTTGTTACACAAGCAGAGGTAAAATGTTTTATATTTTATTGTTTTCAAAGGTCCCTGTCCTGTAACCACTTTGTCTCCAACACCGGCATGTTTCTGCATTCCTGCACTGAATCTAAAGGGGTTCTCCATGGATACACTTCCCTGCCCCTGTGCTAATATCTGCTGGCTTAGGGCCGAATGTACATGCTTAACTTCATGTGCATTAGTCATGCCATTGAACTAAAATGGGGGAGGTGACCTTATTAAATAGCTACATCAGGAATGTACAATATGTTATTCTTACGGCAGTTCAGCAAACACAGGCAACAAACATGTCTTACACTGCAGCCTGACACACCCTGAAAGACAGAGCCAATGGGTAAAAAGCTTTAATCTAATATAGAGGCAAATTAGTATGGTGAAGGATTGGCAGCTTCTACATGTGCAATGCAGTTTTTGGATGTGACTCATTTTTTAAGTAAAAAAAAACAACAAGCAAAACCAGCAAGCGATATGTTTTAAAAATGTTTAGCAAAGCACTGATGAGAAATGTTTTTTACACAAATGTGCTTTTGTATTTTATATACCTACATACTTTTAAAATGCAAACCAAATTTACTTAACTTCAGAGAATGATGATACCTGGAGGATATAGATAGTGGTTGTCGTTTTCTACACTACACCTACATATCTTTGAAATTTGAAAGACGTTTTACCTAGCTTCATTGAATGTCTGGAGCTTATGAATGGTACAATCTTGAAGTTATAAATGATAAATGTCTTTCTGTCTCTCTTTTCTTTAGACAGTCTTAACCTCGTTACAAGTTCAGAATAGCAACTTTTGCTAACCACAGTCACAGAACCATAGAATCATAGAACAGTTAGGGTTGGAAAGGACCTTAAGATCTTCTAGTTCCAACCCCCCTGCCATGGGCATAAAATAGTTCATAAGCATAAATAGTTCATAAACAGTCATAAAATAGTTCAGCACTGCTTGTATCAGAAGTGTATTTTTTTACCCAGTTATGCAAATAATACAATTATTATGTTAAGGCAATATTCGCATGTAATGATACATGTCCTAGTAATTTTATGTAATGAATGCTGGAAAAGTTGTACTCACATCACTTAGACTAATCCAGATGCTAAGCAGACTATTTCTGAAGCCTAATTTTCCTGTGTATTTACATTGCTGTAGTATGTCTTTCTAATGCTCAACACTGAGCCACCACTAACAGTAATGTTTTTGATTCTGCATGTATATGTCATTATATATGTCATGTATATATTCAGTATATGTCATTGGAGATATTCTGACTAACTGGAGCAGTTATGGAAATGACCTCAGAAACAGGAAAATTAAAAATACATGAGGAAAAAGGATGCTATTAGATCTACAAAACAGGGAAGAACAATCTATACTACATAAATATGTGATTCTGTGCTCTCCTGTGTTAAAAATGCTGCAACGGACCAAAAACATCAAGTGCTTCCCTATATAAAATTGCTACTCATGCACAAATTGTCCTCAGTACACTAGAAGTATCATAGAATCATAGAATGGTTAGGGTTGGAAAGGACCTTAAGATCATCAAGTTCCAACCCCCCTGCCATGGGCAGGGACACCTCGCTCTAAACCATATTAGCCAACCTGGACTTGACCACTGCCAGGAATGGAGCATTTACAACCTCCTTGGGCAACACATTCCAGTGCCTCACCACCCTACAGGAAAGCATTTCCTCCTTATATCCAATCTAAACTTCCCCTGTTTAAGTTTTAACCCATTACCCCTTGTCCTATCCCTACAGTCCCTAATGAAGAGTCCATCCCCAGCATCCCTATAGGGCCCCTTCAGATACTGGAAGGCTGCTATGAAGTCTCCACGCAGCCTTCTCTTCTCCAGGCTGAACAGTCCCAGCTTTCTCAGCCGATCTTCATATCATTCTTAGCTCTCCTGTGCCAGCTTTTCAGTATAATTCTAAAAACCTTTTTTCCAGAGGAAGATACTATTTTTGCTTTCCAGCAGATGAGGAAATAGAAGTATGTGGTTTTTCTAAATCACAGAGAAACCAAAACTTTGTCTATCAGACCTCATGGCTCCCAGTATAAAGACCTGCATCATACCCTGGTAGAACAAGGGGGAATCAGTTCAAGCTTAAACAGGGGAAATTGAGATGATCTCTTAGGCAGAAGTTCTTCCCTGTGAGGGTGGTGAGGCCCTGGCACAGGGTGACCAGAGAAACTGTGGCTGCCCCCTCCCTGGCAGTGCTCAAGGTCAGGTTGGACGGGGCTTGGAACAACCTGGTCTAGTGGGAGGTGTGCCTGCCAGTGGCAGGGGGTTGGAACTGGATGAGCTTTAAAATCCTTTCCAACCCAAACAAGTCTGGAATTCTATGATTCTATACTTGAGTATTTTGTATTGAAACACCAAAGCTTGTTTGCAGGTGCATTTCAGCAGCCTTCTTCTTTCTATTATTTATCTGTATGTTATTTTTATGTCTTGATGCAGTTCTGCTTTACATGCATGGGATGGATACAGTCATATTTGAAAAGGAGCTTTGGTGCCATCACATGGATGTGCTTCTGGAAGCTGAGTGCCCACATGTCTGAACAAGTCTCCATCCCTTTTTCCCAGTTCTGCATGGGCTGCCTGCAAAACAACAGAATTTTGAGGTCTAGTGTAACAGGCAGATAAGACTTGTGGGTCTTTGGATGCTTATCCTAGTGAAAGGGGAACTAAATATTGTGCCAGTGGCTTGATCTGCCCTGCTCTGGCTGCCCAAAGGTGTGAGTCAGCCACCATCCCCTGTGTGATGCTCTCTGGTGATGGAAAAATAAGACTGTTTCAGACAAAAATCAGGCTGCAAATCATCACCTGGGCCATTGTCATGGTTTAAGCCCAGCTGGTAATTCAGAACCACGCAGCTGATCAGTCACTCCCCCACTTCCTCCCCCTGCTCCTGGAGGGATGGGGAGGAGAATGGAAAGAACGTAAATCCCACGGATTGAGATAAGAACAGTCCAGTAACAAAGGTATAACACAAACCACTACTGCTACCACCAATAAGAATAATGATAAGGGAAATAACAAGGGAAGAGAATACAACAGCTCACCGCCTGCCAAGTGATACCCAGCCCGACCCAAACAGTGATTTAGCCCTTCTGGGTAACTGCCCCCAGTTTATATACTGGGCATGACATGCTGTGGTATGGAATAGCTCTTTCGCAAGAATGGGTCAGGTGTCCTGGGTCAGGTGTCCTGTCTCTGCTTCCTCCTGGCTTCACCTCCTCCCTAGCAGACCATGAGACTCAGAGAGTCCTTAGTCAGAGTAAACATTACTTAACAACAGCTAAAACCATCAGTGTTATCAGCGTTGTTCCCAGGCTGAAAGTCAATAACACAGCACTGCACCAGCTACTAAGGAGAAACATGACTGCTATAGCTGAACCCAGGACAGCCATGGAAACACTCAAGGAAGTCCAAGGTTAAATATGAACTCAAAACACAATGGGACAGTTTCAGCGTAGCACAGAATATCAACATTGCACTGTCCATGCACTCAAACAAGAGTTTATTCTGGTCTCTTTGGTTAGGTAACAGTAGTCTGGAGCTTCAGCTGGTAAAACTGTACCAAGCCCTGTACAGAAAATATCTGAGCTAAACAGATGCTGCTTTTTCCTGCAAAATTATCTTACAAATGACTTGTGCTCTAAGCTGATTTTATGCATAGCAAATACATTTCTAAATGAGATTTCCTCCATCAACCTCCGCTAACAGCAATACCTATTACATTATGCCTTAAAACAGTATACCTGCTTGGAGGTAATAAGCCTCACAATCAGTCACTATGGCAAAGAGTAAATTGTCTTTTATTCCATTTCCAGAGGCATAGAGGAATACACAGAAGAAAAGAGTTTACTTGAGTTCAAGTGCAAGATATTATCTTGTACTGGGGCTAAAAATAGAGGTTTTTCCAGTGTTGATCTTGTTTACAGTGCTTCATATTGCTACTTCACTTGTCTTTTTAGTTTAATATATATGAATTTGTTAGAACAAGAATATCAATCAGCAAAATGTCCAAAACATTATTGCATAATTATTTCTGTGTCATGCTACCTGTAAATAAATTATCCATCTTCTCTTGAGAGATGAGTTCCCATCTGCATGAGTGTATGACATATGGAAATGAAGTGAGGAGGTGTCATTTCAAGTTGTACTTAAAGTAGGAAAATGAACATTCTTTACAGCAAATGTCTTTTTCTAAAGCACTTAATAATTCTGTGTTTCAGAGCAGCACATATGGCTAGTGACCTATCTTCCCAAGGAGAATGACTGAGATGTGTTTGGAATTATTCCTGGAATTAGACCAGCATGAGGTCTCCTTTACCAATTTGAGGTAATACTGCTAAAAAGCAAGAAATCCAAAGTGATATATGTCCAGCTGACTGTGCCCTGACAATGTCAACTGTGGCAAAAGTTCCACATGCCTGGAGCCAAAGGAAAAAAAAGCCATGACAATGGGTAAACCTTGCGACATCATCTCTCTATGAGGCATAGTAAACATAAAGACCTTCCCAAGGGATATTTAGTCAGTGGAGCCAGAAGCTGTTCTGGGTGGTTTTATTAGCAGGTTTTATTAATGGTGATAACCCAGACTTCTGCCATGATGAAGCACCTTGAAGATTAACTAATGAGTTATTTACTTAACTATAAACACAAGAGTGTTGCCTATTTTGGTTCATTTGTAGAGTCTTTACAACCTCAGAGACTCCACTAGAGGAAAATCATAGAATCACAGAATGGTTAGGCAATTTAAAATGAGGATATGGACAATTAACGTCATATGATTTAATACTGCTTAGGCCTAAGCCTCCTGCTGGGAAAACCACTCCAATTCTGTTTTACTTTAACATGGTGTACGCCAGAAGAGGTTTCAGTTGCAACCATTTTGTATAAGGGTGAGCCTGAATCATCCCTGCTGTGACGTCCATGGGTATGTAGGTAAGGCAAGTATGGTTTTGCCAAATGATATGCATGCAAACTTATTTTCTTGTTGTTGAATAATCCTTTGAAATGTTGTCTTTAAATGGTTGTAGCTAAAAAGCTGCAGAAATTGCGCCCAGGTCTGGAGTACATCTGTCTCATTCTGCTTCACTGAGGTTACATATAAATTATGTATGCCCTCTTCACTTTGGATAACAGTCTGGTCTCAGAAGGATATTAATTATTATGTAGTATCATTCGCTAATTGTTTCTACCTTTAGAGTATTTAAAAAATTGTCTGTGTTGACAATAGCAAAAGATAATGAATGGTTGTTAAGATGTCTGTAGTACAAAGTAAAATACTCATCGCTTCTGCTAATAATATCAGCAAATTCAATATGATTTTAATGATATTATAGGTACATTATGCTTCCACTACCTTTTCTTGAGAGGAGGAATAACCTTCCAATGTTTCTGCCACTTATGCAACCTAGAAAACCTGCATCAGGGCACTCAAATTACTGTCAAATAACACACTGAAATATCCCTAAACACATGGCAAACAATGCACAAATCCTTCATATTCAAAAATCCCCATTTACTTCAAAGGTTTGACCTGATTTCAGTGGCAGCTCTGTAAACAGGGGGTTGAAAATTGAGGTTTTAATAACAAAGAAATCCTGACTCCAAAAATAGAGATGACAAAAATCAAACACATTTTAAGAAAAAATTTGAACAAAGATGTTTTTCACAAGTTTGTCAGTTGTTTCTTTCAGTTGTCAAAAGTCATGTATATACAAGTTAATACAAAGTTAATAAATGCTTTATGTACTAAAACACACTTAGGATATTTATAGGTGTCTTAACATCTTTTAAAAACAAATGCTGTCTCATTTCTTAATAACTCTCCCAACTGCATACTTGATGCCAAGCCAAAATATGTATAAAATACATATATGTATATGTATATACAAATATGTATAAAATACATATGCAGTTTTCATTAAAAGGATTTATGCATATAATTATGTATGTATTTATATTGGTATATATGTGCATATCTTCCTCTAAGTTCTGGTAGTCTGGTGGTAATTCTAGGAATAAATGAAAGGCTTATGTTGTTTTGAGGTGCTTTCTTGAAGTGTACGTTTTGCTGTAACACAAATGCCCTGTCAATGCCTCACTTAATTTAGACAATATTTTGCCTCACATGATTTAGACAATATTTTGCCTCACTTAATTTAGACAATATTTTATTAATTTATAATGCAACAAAATGCTTAATCTCCTCAGCATTTGCAATCGTAGCACTACTCTATGAAAACACTAAAGAGATCTCTGAGTAATTTTGATGTTGTTACTCACCTTGGTGTTTTCCTAGAGATAGGTAACTCAGGTGCTTGTCTTTTCTGGGACAACATAAAGCAATGGAAAAGGTAGCTTATCTAGAACAAGGGAAAAAACAGTCTCCTATAAAAATTAGCCTCTTGGGAAGTAGTGAACACCTTAATTTAAGAACAGGTTACACACAGGTGTATAAACTCCCTTGCAGTACTGTGCAGCTGTTCATCAGGAAGGCTTTGATGAAGTTTCATCTAAAGGCTTGTATGACCCCATCTTAACTATTGAGGATACAGCAAGAATCACCAAGCTAACCAACAGCATTGAGGTTGCTTTACTCCTGCAAAAGAGTTTGGATAGAACAAATTTTGTGTTCAGCTAGCCTGACTTGAATCAGTAAGGTGGCTGGAATTGAAGTTCATCTTAACAAGAATAGAGATTTTTTTTTATATATCAATAGGTATTCTTTTACTTCTTTGAAGTGATGTAAAATACCTACAGGAGCAGCTGCTTCTAATCTTTTTTTTTTTCTCTCTGGCCTAATGAATCTGGAGTATTTATTTGCAAGTTGAGCAGTAGTGAGGACCGAGTGTCCTGATTCAGGAGCTGCCCATTCTTGGTGATGAGGGCTAGTTCTGGCTTTATCAGCAGAGAAAAGACTTAAAGGCAGCCAATAATAACAGGCAAAAGGATTTAGGTGGAATTTAGGCAGGATCCAGGGCAGATTGATCTGTGCAATTTATTTGTTCTGACATCAATCCTGGCTCTGCCAAATAGGTCAGAATCTGTTGGTGAGATTGCAATAGGCACATGTATGGAGAGCTGAATGTGTCCCAGATAAGACTACTTCTTTTGAAAAGTAAGGGTCTTGAGCAAAGCTCTGTCAACAGCATCTTCCATTCTCCTACCACTACCACCACTACAATCTACTGCTTTTGTGGTTCTTTAAAAACAATGTGGCCCTGTGATGAAATGGGTTCTTCTGTGGTGAAAGAAGTAGATTTTAGCAACCAGGATGAAAGCAAACAGTAAAATTCTTATCAGCAGCAACCCCAAATCACTTGTCTAACTACTCTTTCACATCATAAATACTGCTCAGTTGTATTTAACTGATCAGTATAACCAGAGGTAAATGATGTTACAGTTCTTCCAGGGTCTACCATGTTGTTTGAACAGGTAATATTTTTGTCACAGAATCACAGAATCACAGAATCCCAAGGGTTGGAAGGGACCTCAAGAGATCATCTGGTCCAACCCCCCTGCAAGAGCAGGGTAACCTAGAGTACATCACACAGGAACTTGTCCAGGAGGGCCTTGAATATCTCCAATGTGGGAGACTCCACAACCCCCCTGGGCAACCTGTTCCAGTGCTCTGTCACTCTCACAGTAAAGAAGTTCTTCCTGATGTTAACGTGGAACCTTCTATGCTCCAGTTTACACCCACTGCCCCTTGTCCTATCACTGGATATCACTGAAAAAAGCCTAGCTCCATCATCCTGACACCCACCCGTTACATATTTGTAAACACTGATGAGGTCACCCCTCAGTCTCCTCTTCTCCAAGCTGAAGAGACCCAGCTCCCTCAGCCTCTCCTCATAAGGGAGGTGTTCCACTCCCTTAATCATCTTTGTGGCTCTGCACTGGACTCTTTCAAGCAGTTCCCTGTCCTTCTTGAACTGAGGGGCCCAGAACTGGACACAATATTCCAGACACAGCCTAACCAAGGCAGAATAGAGGGGGAGGAGAACCTCTCTTGACCTACTAACCACCCTTTCTAATGCACCCCAGGATGCCATTTGCCTTCTTGGCCACAAGAGCACATTGCTGGCTCATGGTCATCCTCCTATCCACCAGGACCCCCAGGTCCCTTTCCCCTTCGCTACTTTCCAGCAGGTCAGTCCCCAGCCTGTGCTGGTACATGGGGTTGTTCTTCCCCAGATGCAAGACTCTACACTTGCCCTTGTTGAATTTCATCAAATTTCTCCCCGCCCAACTCTCCAGCCTGTCCAGGTCTCGCTGAATGGCAGCACAGCCTTCTGGTGATCCTCATTTTACAGAAAAAAAAACCATGAATTGGTTTATATATGGTAAAGACAAAAAGGCAAGCCCTTCTCCTTGCAAGAAAACCTTAGAATGCTGTAAGTTTGGGAGTTCTGTTGTAAGTCAATTTAGCAAAACTTTCATTGGAAGAAAATTGTGCAGTTGAGCTTTTGAAAGCTTGGAAGCCATTCTGATGCTGTCACATACTGTTTCTCTCACTTATTCAATCAGCAGAGTTTGAAGGTAAGATTTTCAAAGCTGTAGCGTAGATTTCTTTCATTTGAGCCAATGAAGTAACCAGTAATTGAGGTCAGGCACTTCCCTGTAGATGAGCAGCTCGTGGAGGGAGAGATGACATGTTGTTGTCAAGTTATATGGCAGAGACATCAGTGAAATACAGGGTAGGGGGGCTGCTGGGCTCCGTTTCTGGAGCTGGGGTGGGCTTTGTAGCCCTGGAGCCCTACAAGAGTTGTAACTCTATGGGAATGTTATTTGCAAAGTGGGTATTTGTTGGTTAGTTGTGAAGGGAGTATCATATTGAGAAAAAAGGGCTATAAACAGAGCATAATTGTCCTGAGCATGGTGGAAAAGAAATGAGAACAAACCTTTTGTTTCCCAACTCACACCAGTGTGTGCTTTCCTTTCATAAATCAACTTTTTAAACCTTGTGTTATTTTGGTTTTGGGTTTGTTGTTTTTTTTTTTTTTTCCCTTAGATGCTATGTATAACTCCCTTTGCCACAGTGGGAGTGCTATAAATGTATATATGTATGTATGGAAATAAAATTAGGAGACAACAGAATATGGTGCCTTTTAAAGCATGCGACAGCAAGAATAATACCCTTGAAGAGCTTTGCCTGAAGACTGCAAGAGTGGTTCTTTTTTGCAGAGATGTTGGTTTCAGTATGAGCTCATTCTCTGTACTAAACTCTTTTTATCAAATAGGGGTTTGTGTGTGTGTGTGTGTGTTGCTTATATAAGCTTTTCAAGATACGGTGTAAAGCTAAAGCAGTAAGAAAGTCATTGATGGATGTTTACTAATTCTAAATCCATTTAGTGTTCCAAATATTGTGGCACCATGTTTTTTGTTACTATCTCAGCCATCATCAATTTGAACTTCTGAAAAATGAAAGAAGCCCAGTTTGAATTTCAGCTAATAACAGGCTACCACTTGTGCACCACTATAAAAAAGAGCAGCATTTCGTGAATAAAAATACCTACTTCTGCCTTTAGAAAAATGTTAGCATCTACTTGTACGAAAATGATATAATTTGCTTTTTTATGATGCTTTTTCATGATGCTTTTTCTAATACATTGTGCAGTGCAAATTTATTTGACTCTGAATTTCAGAAATTGAGAAAATGTGTTTATTGGTTATAACAGCATATGAAAATATATGCACGATAAACATGGATAAGCATTTGTACGCATATAAACAAAGATCAGATTGTGACAGCTAAACTAAAACACTGTTTCCACTCACTATCACCAACCATATAAATTAGGATGAAAGTGGCTGCAAGGCTGAGCTTCCCAAAACTAACAGAAACAATCCCAGAGCAGGTCAGTATGTCTAAGTATAGAATTTACCTGATGAATAAACCAAAACCAATGCAAAGAGGTTTATGTCCCTCTTTGCAAGCTGCTGAAAAGCTTCAGAGATGACTTCCAATGCCTACAGCTGCTACCTCCCTTCTGCATTAGAGGCTGGTGAATACTCCACATCATTGTCAAGAAATGTTTGTTCATATTTTTTGTGTGGTTCACTGGATTTTGATCCACTCTTCAGTGTATGAATATTATAAGAAAGTTTACTGGAGGAAAGAGTCACTGTACCAAAAAATTTGAAAAAAATATTACCAAACACTTAAGAGAGATAGATACAAAACTTTTCATTCATAGTCATCAGCATTAAAAGCCTCATTCCAAAAATAACATTAGTCCAATCAGAGACAAGAAACAAGAAACATCTTATATTAATCACATAGCCAAATAAGGCTATTGATACAGAAATAATTATTACAGTTATTTGCCAAGTAGCTAAATAAGTGATATATCAATGAAAAGGTATTAGCATTTGAGAGAGATATAAATGTAATATAAAAATAATATATATATGTGTATATAGATATGCATAAATTTACTACCTTTTGTTTAAACTCTGCTCTACCCTAGACCCTTGTGCTCTGGGGGTATAAACTCTATTAACCTACCTAGTCCCCTTCAAATCCTGCAAGGAAAGATAATGACACCACCTTGGGCACAACCCTTTGTCTACTATCTTTGTAACTCTCTGCTTGCTCTGTAATAGCATTACCCAGTTTGTTAAGCATTGTACATATGTAATATTTCCCAAACAGGTGAAGCCCCAGGCAGGTGTATCACTACAGATTATGTATTTTCCTCTGTTTCTATATTCCCACACCTGTCTGTAGGAAGAGTTCTAAGAAACTCTTTGTATTTGCATGGAAGATGCAATTGGTTTTGGTGTCTCATAAATTTGTGCTGGGGATGGGTATGGGAAGACAAAGTGTATGACTGGGTTACTTTTAGGATTGCTTTCCTCATCCCTGGTTTATATTCAAAACTGTCAGCCTGGAGGACTGTGATAACCTCTAGACACATTTTCTTGAAAAATCTCCATCAGCTGACTGATTTCTGTCAGCTTCATAAGTGTCTATGGAGAGCAAGGACCTTGTTAATGTTTTTCTCAAGAGCTTGACCCTCCTGAACTTGTAGATGTGCCATCCTGGACAGTTCATTTTGTGTTTCATTCCTGTATTAGTTAAGCATTTCACTATGGCATATGCATTGACCTTTGAAATTCTGGGCACAACTCTTTCAGTGTCTAGGAGTAAGATTTTCACTGGTGGAAAGCTCATGTGATGCTTTGGGATCTCAGCCTCCGAGATCAATGCCAAGGTACCTCGTGTCTTTACCATGCTTTTTTTTTTTTTTTTTTTTTGATAACAAAGGCTTTCCCTAAGAAGTCAGTTGTGATTAAGGTTCATGTATCCCTTACTGGATGAAGACGAGAAGTATCACAATATTTAAATTATCGTAGGCTGGGTTCTTACTGAGTCATAGAATCCCAGACCTGTTTGGGTTGGAAAGGACCTTAAAGCTCAAACAGTTCCAGCCCCCTGCCATGGGCAGGGACACCTTCCACTGGACCAGGTTGCTCCAAGCCCCATCCAGCCTGGCCCTGAGCACTGCCGGGGATGGAGCAGCCACAGCTTCTCTGGGCAACCTGTGCCAGGGCCTCACCACCCTCACAGGGAAGAACTTCTGCCTAAGATCTCATCTCAATCCCCCCTCTGTCACGTTAAAGCCATTATTCCATGTCCTGTCCCTACAGGCCCTTGTCCAAAGCCCCTCTCCAGGTTTCTTTTCACACCCTTTAGGCACTAGCAGCTGCTCTAAGGTCTCCCTGGAGCAAAGATATGAGCGCACACTACAGGTCATGTGGAGCTTCTTGTCAAACAACGCCCTTTTTTGCTCATTATTCATTCATTTGGAAGCCGAATCCTGCAAGCTCTACCCATAATACTTGAGTTCGACCTTAGTTATTCTACATAGGAAAAGCATCTAGGGTGAGGTCTATAAGGGATTGTTAGGCACCTCAGAGTAAAACACTGTAAAAACAGCATTTTATGGTAGGATGACAAATATCCCTAGACTTCCCAAGGAGACACTAGAACAAAGAAGGTCATGCTGAGGGTTACCCCTTGGTTCTTGGAGAGGGCTCACATGAGGCAGTTAACAGAAAGGAGCTCTTGTCTTCTGCAGAGCAGGCTGGGCTGCAGGCTGCTTGTTCAGTGTAGTGCTTTCTGTGTACAGCCGCTTTGCCAACTGTGCACAGTGAGGCAGAAAGCTAGCAAAATAACATGCACACCAGCACAAAGCCTTAGGCTTAGACTTTTTAAAATGTCATTTGTAATCTCTGCAAAACTACTGAATGGAGAGCAAGGTTTTGGTTTGGGAGAGACATCACATAGGGCAGTGGCAAAGGCATGTGTGCAGAGCTCACTGAGGATTTGGTAGTTGATGTGGTGCTTTGACAGCTCTGAGCCCCCACGTGCACATCCCTATATTGCATCTCCCAGTTTTTAT